GGATCTCTGTGAGTTCGAGACCAGCCTGGTCTACAAAGCAAGTTCCAGGACAGGCTCCAAAGCCACAGAGAAACCCTGTCTCAAAAAAAACCAAAAAAAAAAAAAAAAAAGAAACATATAAAGACATGGAGAGACACACATTCGCACACACAGAGAAATCCCATAAAGAAACAAAATTGGGAGCCATCATATCTAAGCAAAAGGCCTGTAAGGTTAAAAAAAAAAAGAAAGAAAATGTAAAATGCTCAGACCAAGTCTGAACCAGTATCATGAGACAAAACCCTCCCCAAATACCACTGAGTTGATTTTTGTATTGGCCAGGCTGGCCTCAAAGATGAAGGCCATGTTTTCCGCAGTTGGACAAGGGCCAGGTTACAGTTGTCCCGCTTCATATTGTGAGACAGGTTTTCAGCTGTGTTGTTTAAACTGATTTTGAGTGCGCAATCCTTCCTTGTTACCAAACATGGGATTCCAGGCATGTGCCACCAAGCACAGAACTTATTGTATGTCCTTCTTTATTTGTTTATTTATTGATTTATTAGGGCTTTTTTTTAATTTTTTTTATTTTATTGAGAATAAGAAAAAAAAGTTTCCGCCTCCTCCCAGCCTCCCATTTCCCTCCCCCTCCCCCCCCCCCTTCCCCCCCCCCCCCCCCACCCCCCCCCCCCCCCCTCCTCTCCCCCTCCCCCCCCTCCTCTCCCCCTCCCTCTCCTATCCAAAGAGCAGTCATGGTTCCTTGTCCTGTGGAAGGGCTTTTTTTTTTTTTGACAGNCCCCCTCCCTCTCCTATCCAAAGAGCAGTCATGGTTCCTTGTCCTGTGGAAGGGCTTTTTTTTTTTTTGACAGGGTGTCCCTGTAACAGGTTTGGCTGCCTTGGAGCTCACTCCGTAGACCAGACTGCCTTTGAACTCACAGAGATCTGCCTATTGTACTTATTTTTTTAAAAAATATATCATTTATTCTCACTAGAATTTGTCCAGAGATAAGGCTCCTAGACACCGGATAACAACTACAGAATAAAGAACTCCAAAATATATATTTATCAGATGGATCAAATAAATAAATTGTATGGATGTCTTGAAAACAGGTGAAGATTTGATGGTGCTTAGGATACACTAAAAACAAATCAACAGCCGGTTGGTGATTAAAGCAGGACGCCTTTAATCCTAGCACTCGGGAGGCAAAGGCAGGCAAAACTCTGTGAGTTTGAAGCCACACTGGTCTACGAGAGCTAGCTCCAGGACAGGCTTCTTTTTTATTTTTTTGTTACTATTTTTGGTCTGCATTTGAGAAGAGAGACTGTTTGTTGTATCTGCATCACAAACCATCTCATACAAGAACAGGTTCCATATCAAAGGTGCTTGGTGAAGGTGCACACACCCAAGAGATTTACTGAGAATTTGTTTGGATTTGCGCTCCACCTCCACAGCCCCCGGTCAAATGGGATAGCTTATAAGAAGTTCCTGTGCCGGTTGCTCAGAAGATTGTTCTCTCAAAGCCTTCTGTGAGGAGGAGCCTGTTACCGTTTCTGTTTTGCCTGCTATCAGAGGAGGTGATGAATAGGTATGAGAATCGTAGGTGTGGGAAGCGAGACGTGGATGGATCATCCACCAAATTTCGGATGTGTGCAGCCCTGTAGGTACCAGAGGAGGGTATCGGATTGTGTGCAACCATGTAGGTACTAGGAGTCTGCGGGGAAAGCCGCCAGAGTATTTAACTTCTGAGCTATCTCTGCATTTGCAGCCTACGACTTTTCTTTTTCAGACAGGGTCTTGTGATGTAGCCACAGCTGTTCTTAAACTTCCAGTGATCCTCCTGCCTCTGCTTACTGAGTGCTGGATAAGTGTGAGGAGTCCTGTCCTGGTTCTGGTATAGAATTCAGGTCATCAGGCTTGCCAATGAGTGTCTTTGCCAGATTTTACCCCAGTTTGAATGAACTGTGGGAACTAAGGCTTAGGCAGATCAGGAAAAGCTGGGAAGCTGGGTCTGGGGCTTTAAGTCTTAAGGGGAGGTTGCAATGAAGGCTCAGGGCTCCTGGGGCTTGGCTTGGGGAGCTACAGTAGGAGAGGCCAGGGCAGGCTCTTCAGTCTAAAGAAGAGATCATGAGCCGGGCGGTGGTGCACGTGCCTTTAATCCCAGCACTTGAGAGGCAGAGGCAGGCGGATCTCTGGGAGTTCGAGGCCAGCCTGGGCTACAAGAGCTAGTTCCGGGACAGGCACCAAAGCTACAGAGAAACCCTGTCTCGAAAAACCAAAGAGAGAGAGAGAGAGAGAGAGAGAGAGATCATGAAGTCCCAAACTGGGATGAAGATACATTTTTTTTTTAAAGTGGAGGGGATGGGAGATATAGGTCAGAGGTTTCTGGATAGGCTAAGCAGAACAGAGAAGTTGAATGGGGATGGGGGTGGGAGAATGTGGGAGGGGGAGCGACTTGAGTTTGATTCTACTGCTTGGACCCAAAGAATGCAAGCTATTGCATGTCCTTTCAAAATAATAGCCCCTGACATCTTACTGGCCACACCAAGAAATGGAATTATGTGGGCACTGTATCTTTTAAAAAAAATCCCCTTTGCAGCACTTCCTTAAAACTAAGTATTTATTGCAACTCTGTCAGTGTGTTCTTGATTGTGTCATTAATGATTGAGCCGCAACTTCATGACGGGTGGAAGCGTGTCTTTCGGGTGAGTGCTCTCAGCTTATGTGTCTTCAAGCCCTTTGTATTAACTGCTGCGGTTTCTCCTTCTGAGGAGTGTTTCCTGCGCAACTGTCTTCTTGTCTGTTCAGTTGCAAGAAGTATTGAACCACTAAGGTGACTGCTATAGTTCTTTGACTTGTAAAGCTTTTCTTCTTTATCCTTCTTCTTCTTCTTCTTCTCCTCCTCCTCCTTCTCCTCCTCCTCCTCTTCTTCTTTCTTTTTCTTTTTTCCTTTGTATTCGCTATTTGTGACAGGCATTGGCTCTGGCAATGGAAACCCCAAGCTTGAGGGGATCCGGATCCAGCCCCAGAAACTGCATCTTCAACACACAACTTCAGCGCAACCGCTTAAGCTCCTTTCACAGAAACTTTGCTTTGGAGGCTTAGAGTAGAGCCTGCTTCTACTCCAGGCACCTCTGAATATTTAGTTCAAAATACAGCGAGCTTTAGCACTGATGAGTAAGGTCACGATTGCCGAAAAGTCATGGATGGCTTTTTAAAAATATCTAATACTGATACCATTCATTTGGTGGGTGGGTTAGTGTATGGCTAAAATCTATTTGGGGCTGACAGGACTGACTTACGTTTAAGGTTCATGTTGAAAACTGTGGATTACAGAGTGAGTGTGAGGCTAGCCCAGGCTCCATAGCCGCTGTCACAAAAGAGCAAACAGACAGACCAAAATTGATTAATAGTCCAGACTGGATTTATGAATGTTCTTATGTTTTCTTTCTTTTCTTTTCTTTTTTTAATCAGGATTTCTCTGGGTATCCTTGGCTCTCCTGGAGCTCACTCTGTAGACCAGGCTGGGCTCGAACTCACAGAGATCTCCCTGCCTCTGCCTGCACGCCACCAACCACCACTTGGCCTTACGTTTTCTTTTAAGTGACTTGATACCAAGATAAAGTGTTGTGCGATGACCTCGCTGTATTACTTGCTATTGAATTGTTATTATATCGGCATTAAGTTAAAACATTGCTAGGCTGTGGTGGCACATGCCTTTAATTTCAGCCCTTGGGAGGCAGAGGCAGGCAGATCTCTGATATCAAGGCCAGCCTGGTCTAGAGAGTGAGCTCCTGACAGCCAAGGCTACACCACAGAGAAACCCTGTGCCAGATTGCCACACCTTTATGGTTACACCATTCGGCAAATCATGAAAGTCGGGAGCACTTCAGGCATTCATCTGACAACTGGGGTTTTGGGGAATTCTCGAGGCAAAAAAAAAAAAAATTACAACTTCTAACCCCCAGAAGCTGATGTCCTTTAGCTTCTAAGCATGGGCATTCTACACTGGCTGCCTTGCTGGCCCAATAGATGATCTCAAGGCAAAGAGGTCTATTTTTTTTCTAAAGAAAAAAAAAGGGGGGGATTGCTAAGGTAAAAAAATTGAATTCCAAAATTTTTAAATGGAAAGCATTTAGGGGTGAGTTCAGATGGTCTCTCATAGCCCAGCCTGGCAACAAACTCCGAATTGAGCGAGTCACCCTGATTTAGCTTTTTGAGTGCTAGGATTACAGAAGGGAAACAGGTTTGCCCCTCCAAGCCCAGTTCATTTAAATATTTAAGAATTTAACAAAAACAAAAACAAAAACAAAAAAATGCCGGGCGACGGTGGCACACGCCTTTAATCCCAGCACTCGGGAGACAGAGGCAGGCAGATCTCTGTGAGTTCGAGACCAGCCTGGTCTACAGAGCTAGTTCCAGGACAGGCTCCAAAGCCACAGAGGAAGGAACCCTGTCTCGAAAAACCAAAAAAAAAAAAAAAAAAAAAAAAAAAAAAAAAAAAAAAAAAGTTTGGTGGTGTTTGGACAGGGTTTCTCTGTAGCTTTGGAAGTATTTAAATACTTGGGGTTGCCGGGCGGTGGTGGCTCCAAAACCACAGAGAAACCCTGTCTCGAAAAAACAAAAACAAAACAAAACAAAAATACTTGGGATTCTCCAGTATGTTCCAGTTCTTCTGTGTTCTCCATCAGTTAAGCAGTGAAGGCAACCAACTACCTTAGCTCTTTCCACAGAGCAGGGCATCTAGGAGCTGAGCTGAGCTGAGCTCTGCAGGGAAATCTTGCTCGCACTGTGAACAGGAGGACCAGCGCTTGGGTCACCAGAACTGGAAAATACTGACGTGCTAGTTAGTTAGTTCCTTGTTGGTTCATTTCTTCATTTTCTTTTCTTTCTTTCTTTCTTTCTTTCTTTCTTTCTTTCTTTCTTTCCTGGAAAATACTGACGTGCTAGTTAGTTAGTTCCTTGTTGGTTCATTTCTTCATTTTTCTTTCTTTCTTTCTTTCTTTCTTTCTTTCTTTCTTTCTTTCTTTCTTTCTTTCTTTCTTTCTTTCTTTCTTTCTTTCTTTCTTTTCTCCCTTCCTTTTGTTATTTATTATACAATATTCTGTCTGCTTATATGCCTGCAGGCCAGAAGAGGGCGCCAGACCTCATTACAGATGGTTGTGGTTGCTGGGAATTGAACTCAGGATCTTTGGAAGAGCAGGTAATGCTCTTAACCACTGAGCCATCTCTCCAGCCCCCTTTCTTTCTTTTTTTTTTTTTTTTGAGACAGGATTTCTCTGTTTAGCTTTGGCTGTCCTGGAAATTGCTCTGTAGACCAGGCTGGCCTCGAACTCAGCTCTTGCCTGCCTCTGCCTCCCAAGTGCTGGGACTGAAGGAGTGTGCCACCACCACTGTGTGGAGCACTTTCCTAAATGATTGCTAGGAGGCCTCTGACCTTTGTTTGGGTAGTGCCACCCCTAGGCAGGCGGTCCTGAGCTGTGTGAGAAAGCAGGCCGAGCAAGGTAGTACACAGCATTTCTCAGTAGCCTCTGCTTTAGTGCCTGCCTCGAGTCCCTGCCCTGACACCCCTCAGCGACGGACAGTGACACAGCAGAACCCTTTCCTCTCACGGCATTCTATCACAGCAATAGAAATCAGACTAGGGCAGTTGGCCTGGGTGTAGTGGCTTCCTGGTAACCCCAGCACTTGCAGGATGAGTCAGCAGAAACTGGCCAGCTTGACCCAGCCAGCAAGTTCTGGGGCTCCAATGCAAGGTCCTGCTTCAGCGTGTAAGGTGAAGAATGGCGGAGGGGAGGCGCTTAGCATCAACACAAGCATGCATGAGCAGACACACATACATGTTCACACACACAATACACACTAGTGTAATGGCAGAAAAGTGAAGCATTTGAAGGAAATCATGTGGAGAGAAAATTTGTTCCCAAGGACGAGTTCAGATGGTGGCATTCTGCACTGTTCATTTAGAGTCAAACGAAAAGCTTTGTTAGGCAGGGCAGTGGTGGTGCACGCCTTTAACCCCAGCACTTGGGAGGCGGAGACAGACGGACCTCTGTGAGTTTGAGGTTAGCCTGGTCTAACAGCGAGTTCTAGGACAGGCTCAAAAAAAGCTATAGAGAAACCCTGTCTTGAAAAAGTCAAAAAAAATTACTTTTAATTCTCAAAATCTCAAACCTGTAATCCTAGCACTCAAGAGGCCGAGGCAGGAAGATTGCCACGAATTGGAGGCCAGCCTGGAGTACAGACTGAGAACCATGTCTCAAAAAAAAAAAAAGCAAAAGACAAAAATAATTAACAGGCGGTATTGTTCTTTTGTTTAATCGCTCTTTTTCTTCCTCGCTAGAACTTGTTCTTGAACCAGAGCTGTACAAGCTGACACCGGCCACTAGATCACCAGGACAACCCAAGACAATTAGAGAACCATGGTGAGCTGTTTTGTTCGTTTCCTTTCCTCTTCAGTATTGAATCTAAGATTTCTTTCTTTTTGAGACAGGGTTTCATGTATCCCAGGTTGGCCATATGTTGCCAGGGATGACCCTAAGGTACTGATCATTCTGCCTCAGCTTCCTAAGTGCTGGGATTATAGATATGTGCTACCATGCTCTGTATACGTGGTACCCGGAACTGATTCCATAATCTTTAATTTATGCTTTAAAAAATTTTATACTGTGTGGAATTACATCATCTTGCCGTATAGTGTTTTATTCTATAAGATAAATATAGAATAATTTCAGTCTGGTGAGCACCAGACCGAAAGGCCAATGCTTCAAATACTAAACTAGGAAGCTGAAATTTTTTATTTATGCTTTATAAAATTTTATACTATGCGGAATTACATAATCTTGCCATATAATATTTTATTCTATAAGATAAATATTGTTGGTGAGCACCAGACTGAAAGGCCAGTGCTTCAAATACCAAACTGGGAAGCTGGCTCACATCTGAGACACAACTGATTGTCTATGGCTATGGACGGTTTGTAGGGAGTGCCCAAGAAGCATTCGACACCACAGAGAGCAGCAATCTGTGATGAAAACGTAGCCGGTCTGCTCTGCCTGTTATGCTGAGGTTGGAGTTCTCCTAGCAAAACGTAAAATGATACTTTATTAATAATTTCAGAACCCCCGAATTTCTCCGTTGTTTCCACAGACTTGCATTGAGCAAGATAGGCTGGGTCAAGTGTTTGAAGATGCGATTGAAGTACTGACACAGAATTCAGCTGGAGAACTTCAATATCCCCCAGGTACAAATGGTCATTTCCTCCTCTCTTGGCACGGTGGCTTGTTGGTCACATGCGTATGTAAGCAAAAAGGCACGGAAGGAAGCCTACTGGACTTATGATCTTGGTACTTGCAAAAGGGGGCTTTCCCTTGGGCTCCCTAGCCAGCCAGAATACCCTTATTGAGTTCTAGGCCAGTGAGAGATCCTATGTCAAAAAACAAGGCGGTTGAGGGATGATATCTGAGGTTGACTTTGGCTCACACGCACGTGTACCCACACGCGTGTACACCTGCAAGTGATCCGCAGACATACATGCAGGTAAAACACTCAGATACATGAAATCTTAAAGCGGCGTGGAACTGAAGCAAAGGGCTCATTTGTTTTGAGGGCAGCCTGATCATCATAGCTCGACTCTGTCTCAATAAGACCAAGAATAAACATAAAGGGGCTGGAGAGATGGCTCAGTGGTTAAGAGCATTGCCTGCTCTTCCAAAGGTCCTGAGTTCAATTCCCAGCAACCACATGGTGTCTCACAACCATCTGTAATGAGATCTGGCGCCCTCTTCTGGCATGTGGGCATACATGGAGGCAGAATGTTGCATACATAATAAATAAATAAATTAAAAAAAGAATAAACATAAGGCTGGCTCATCATGTCCTTATATCATCTTGCCTTCCCATGTAAAGCTTTTTCTTTAAAATATGTGTGTATGGTGTATTGTGTATGTGTAAATGTATATGTGTATAGTGTATTGTGTATGTGTAAATGTATATGTGTATGGCGTATTATATATGTGTAAATGTTTACGTGTATGGTATATTGTGCACATATAAATGTATATGTTTATAGTGTATCGTACATATGTATATTGTATGGTATAGTGTGTATGTGTATGGTGTGCTGTATATGTATATATGTATGGTGTATTGTGTGTATGTATTTGGTATTCTGTGCATGATTATATGCATATCGTTTACTGTGTATATGTATGGTGTATTTTGTATGGTATATATATTGTGTGTGCATATGTATGTATGTTATCTGGGCCGTCATTAGGGTGTAGGAATAGGGGAACAACCTTGGGAGCCATCCTTGTCTTCCCTGTGTTTGAATTAGAGTCTCAATAGCATGCATAGGCCAGGCTAGCTGGCCTGAGAACTTCTGGGGACTCTCCTGACTCCACCTCTCATCTTGCCACAGAAACACTGGGCAAGATACATACACACACATACATACATACATACATACATACATACATACATACATACATGTCTTTATGCACTCAGCTTGACCTGGGATCTGGGGACTTGAACTCTGGTCTTTACATTTATGTGGCAAGTGCCTTGTTCATTGGGTCACCTCCCCAGCCCAGAAAAAGCTTCTTCATTGCTATGTCTCTCAGGTCTTCCACTCACCCAAGAGTCTGTGTGGAAGAATACAAATTTTTATCCTTCTTCATTTATTCTATAGTTGGTCTTATTCTTTGACCTACATAAGATGCAATATATCATCTATTGAGTTTATTATATATAGTATCACAGGGAATTACAAGACTTGAACAGTGTGGTACTTTAGGTACATGGAATATATTTCCATAAGGCAAATCAATAGAATATGTGTCACCTTGAGCCGCTTCCATACCTCTGTGTGTGTGTGTGTGTGCGCGCGCGCGCGCGCGCGCGCGCGTGCGCATGCGTGCTCGTGGTGCACATTTGTGTGTGTGTAAACAAATGTGTGCTTGAGCTGGGCAGTGGTGGCGCACGCCTTAATCCTGGCACTTGGGAGGCAGAGGCAGGCAGATCTCTGAGTTTGAGGCCAGCCTGGTCTATAAGAGCTAGTTCCAGGACAGGCTCCAAAGCTACAGGAGAAACCCTGTCTCAAAAAACCAGAAACCAAACCAAAACAAAACCCCAATGTGTGCTTGTAAACTTGGACTCGTGAAATGAAATGTCTTTCTGTTCTGCTTTTTTTAGATCACAAAAATTACATGAATTTCGTCAACCAGTATCCTCACATCAGAGGCAGCCCCAGTTGCTGCGGGTTTGTGCACCCAGAAGAACCCACCTGTAACTGGAGGAGTCTGACGGTGAGTAAGTTGCTTGGGACAAACTGCTAGGCACAGCTGTGCTTTGGGCTTATGTTTAAAGCAAGCACAAACGGAAGAGCGAGCTCGCCAGCAGCAGAGAGCTAGGAGAACCTCAGATCAGATGCGGAGAGCAGAGGAAGCCAGTCCTAAAGAGTCCTGAAAACTCTGGCACAGTCATCGGTGCCCCTGCTATACGGAAGGGACAAACAGAACATGTTCTCCTGGGCGAGACTTCCACCATAGACATCTGAACATTGTGGGGTCAACTGTTTTAGCTGTGCGTTTTTTCCTCCTCCGTTCTCAAAGCTGCGACACTCCTTGTCTTTCTTTGTTTGTGTTTTGCTGTTTTCCTTTCTCCTCTCACAGGGCCCGGAGGCCCTGGCCCAGCCCTGGACAATGTCGTCTTAGGGGACATTTAAAATCCACAGCAGAGTTAGAACTAGAAAAGCAATTACCTCTTTCATGGGGCTGGAGAGGTGGCTCAGAGTTTAAGAGCACTGCCCTCTCTTCCAGAGGTTCTGAGTTCAATTCCCAGCAACCACAGCTATCTGTACTGAGGTCTGGTGCCCTCTTCTGGTGTGCGGGGATACATGTAGACAGAACATAATAAATCTTTTTAAAAAATCCTCTTTCATGAGTCATCCATTACCTGCCTGCATCACCCTTTATCATTCCCCTTACGTTATATTGTACCTACATGGACATGTAGACACATATGTATGTGTATATATGCATGCTAGAATCAAACGTATGAGGGAGCACGTGTAGGTTTTTCTTTCTGAGATTGTGTGACCGTATATTATACATACCAAGTCTGTCCATTTTCTGCAATTTTGTCATTTTTTTAGAGATGAATAGTATTCAGGTTTATATAGGTATTTATTTATGTAGGTATTTCAACAGGCAGCTTTAATGTGCTGGGTCTAACTGTAAAGTCTTGTTCGTCTTCATCTTCAGTCACGTATGTTACGCCTGACATCCTTTATCTCCGGGTGTAAATGTGGCCTTGTTGCATCTTCTCATGATTTCTTTTTCTTCCTCTCTGCTTGTTTTCTTCTTTGTACAACCACTCCCTATCTCTTTGATGCTGGGAGTCAAACCCAAGGTTCGAGGCAAGGTTCGAGGAGACTAACTGCTACGTCTCCAGTCCCATAAGCCATTCATTTCCATCTTTCCAACTTTAATCTCTTATTCTTTTAGGATTGCCTGGTAAACATGGGCTGTCTGGGGGCTCAATCTGGCAACCTTACTTTCTTAAAGCCTCGCCTGCAGAGCATAGCTTCTAGTTGGGATTGTTTGGCCCAACAGTGGAGGGATAAGAGGGCTCCAGCCCAGCCCTTCCATTGTGTCCAATTAACCAATGGACACAGACACATCTTTGCCACATGGAATGCTAGGAACACCTTCCTCTTGCCTCTTGGTCCCCTTGTCCAGGGTCCCCTTCAACCCAGGAATGAAAGCCCAACTTCTCTTTGTGCCGACACCCTAATCTTTTGACTGCTTCATTGGGGGCAAGGTGAGCCCAGAATTACCTTAAACTCAGAGCGGTCCTCCGGCCTCTGTCGCTTGCCAGCACGGCTCCGGCCTCAGGCCTCTTGGTCCTGGGCACTGTGAGAAGAGGAGCAATCACCTCTTTCTCATGGTGGGAGGAGTCAAATGTTAACATCTATCCCTCGGTCCTCTCCGAATCTTTTGCTCATCCCTGGGAGCTATCTGGCTGCAGCAGAGATGGCACTCAGAGAATCCAGATGTTTAGAACCCTTCGCTTTGGTCCGAGACCACTGATGAGGGGGTGGGGTGAGGGACACAGGACAAACTCCCACTTAACATCCTGCTGTCTTGTGTGTGCAGAATGGTTCTGCGGACTGGTATTCAGAAGAAAGTTTTCATCAATCTCTGCAGAACATAACTGAAAGCCAACTGGTACAAGCCTCCATCTTCCAGCAAAAGGGAGGAAAAGGTACATAGCCATAACCCCCCCTTACATGGTACCAGGGATGCTGTTACACATGGGTTTGGAGTTTTCCTTCCTTTCATCATGTAGTCCAGGCTGGCCTGGAACTTACTAGTAGACCAAGATGTCTTTAAACTTGATCCTACCTCTGTGTCCTGAGTGCTAAGATTAAAGATTATAGGCATATAGCTAGAAGGAGTTCAGAAATTATATATATTATCTTATATCTTGTAGCCGAACATGGTAACACATACTTGTAGGTCCAGCACGGAGGCAGAATGATTGCAAGTTTGAAGCAAGCCAGGGCTACACGTTAGACTCTATCCCAAGAAAAAAATCTGCTAAAACAGCAAGAAGTGAACCACTCCAAGGCTGCTGGGTTATTAATTGGATCATAGGAAATTTACTGATGGATACACTCTGGAAGAAAAACGGCGCTGCCACCCCACACCCGGTAGCCATGGACTACCAGTGTGGATCCCCACGTGTCTCTCCCTAACTGTGCTAGAGCGTAGGCAGTGTCAGTTTTGTGCGGGTCTTGTGCAAGTAGCCACAGCTCTGGCGAGTTGATAGTTCAACAGCCATGTCACGTTCAGAAGACAGTTTCGCAGTTCATAGACCCAAGATAGACAGTAGGAGCAGTTGGGAATAAACTATGCTGATTTCTCAAGGTGAACGTGGAATGTAGTCAAGAGTTGATTTTTTGTTTGTTTGTTTGTTTTGTTTTAACTACTGGTGGATCCAGTGGATACGGCCTGCAAAAGCTAATTCGGATGTAATGAAGTGGCTGTCACTTGAATTTGAAGAATTCTATTGCATCCCACAATCCACAGAAATCTTCTAAATTTCCTTACCTAGTCGTTTTGAGACACCACTAACACTTGACTTTGTAATTGAAAATGTCCTTAGCCATTGCTCATAAACAATGGCATGAACATTTGGCGGGGGGCGGGGGGTGGGCATTTCTACTCTAGTTATTTTTTGGTTTTGTTTTGTTTTTGTTTTTTTTTTTTTTGCAAAATTTTCAGGACATGCCGGGCAATGGTGGCGCACGCCTTTAAAATTCCAGCACTCGGGAGGCAGAGGCAGGCGGATCTCTGTGAGTTCAAGACCAGCCTGGTCTACAGAGCTAGTTCCAGGACAGGCTCCAAAGCCACAGAGAAACCCTGTCTCAAAAAACAAAAAAACAACAACAACAAAAAAAAAAAATTTCAGGACATATCAGTTCCTCCAGTGCTAGCCTCCATGTCAGGGCTAATAATTCCCTAAATATTACTTTGAGGGTCAAGAGATGATGGCATTTAAGAGCACTGGCTGTGAGCTGCTATGTGGGTGCTGGGACTCGAACCTGAGTCTTTTCTGCAACTCAGCAAGTGTTCTAACAGCTGGACCAACTCTAGCCCCTTGTATGTGTCATAATGGGAAACCAGTGGTCGAAATGTAACTGGGAAGAAAGACCGCCTTCAAGGGAATCTCTAGATGAGGAGCCCCAGGCTTTCTTTTTCCAGAGGACAGTAAAGAACTTTTAACCATTTCCACATCATTTAGGTCCGGCGCAAACTTTAAGAGGCCCACGGATCTTTCTGGTCTGGTGGTAACTGCCTTCGTAAGGCAGTGAGTGAAGTTGGCTCACTGAAGCTTCCGTATCTGGGAAGTCCTTCCCTGGGACCTTCTAGGGCCAGACACAAAGGGTTTGATGTCTCCTCTTTCTTTCCGTCCATCGCAGGCAGGAGGAAGCTCCGGCTGTTCGAATACCTTTTCGAATCTCTGTGTGACTCGGAGATGGCGTCTTGCATCCAGTGGGTCGACAAGACCAAAGGTGTCTTTCAGTTTATCTCAAAAAACAAAGAAAAGCTGGCTGAGCTTTGGGGGAAGCGAAAAGGCAACCGAAAACCCATGACTTACCAGAAGATGGCCAGAGCCCTGAGAAACTATGCCAGGACAGGGGAGATCACGAAAATCCGCAGGAAACTAACCTACCAGTTCAGCGAAGCTGTTCTCCAGAAACTGTCTCCGGCTCATCTCCTGGGGAGAGACATCCTCTGCTCGCAGTATGGCCAGTATGATCAGGAATATCTCAGCTTGAACCCTTGGAATGTAAACTACTATCCCCATACGGGTTACCTGAGCTAAACCACTCCAGCTACTTCTTTGGTTTTTGTTTTTTTAAAGGAAATGAAAACATTCCTATGTTTTCAGAGCTTTGGATTAATCAATTTTTTTTTTAAAAAAAAACTTTATTTTTCATTACACAGTGTTTTGTCTGTAAGTATGCCTGCATGCCAGAAGAAGGAACTAGATCTCATTACAGATGGTCGTGAACCACCATGTGATTGCTGGGAATTGAACTCAGGACCTTTGGAAGAACAGTTAGTGCTCTTAACCTCTGAGACCTGTGTTTTTTGAGACAGGATTGCTCTGTGTACCTCTGACTGTCTTGTCTGTAGACCAGGCTGGCCTTGAGCTCAGAGTGCTGGGATTAAAAGTGTGCAGCTCCTCACTGCATTCTGTTCCTTGCCTTGCTAGCATCTCTGGAAAAGCCTGAACTTGGGAATTTCCACAGTACACCACTGGTGCTCTCCCTGTGCATAGACCCCACACCCATGACACACACATCTAGGGAGAACACCGCACAGAGCATGTTCAGACTTTTCGTCTTGGTCCCGACAACTTTTTTAGGTAGTGTTTGCATTGGGGTTGGTGTTCAAAGGAAGCTGAAGATATTTCAGAAGGATGCTCATAATTTGGCTGCATAAACTTTGCTGTTTAGACTGTGCGTGTCTGTGGACTGGGTATCCAAGAACACCCTGGAACCAGTCTTCTGAGTGGTGTGCCTTGTAGTTATTTTATTAATGAATTTATTAATTACATTTCAATCAATTGAAATTATAGACTGAATGCTTTTTGCTATGCAAATACTTTTCCTTCTAGAGTGTGCCAGCTTGGATGATTTTATCGGATGATTGTTTTAAAGAATGATTTTGTTGCTGGCTGGCTTGCTTGCTTGTTTGGAGATAGTCTTGCTAACTAGGCCAGACTGTCCTTGAGTTAATGGGATGACAGGTGTGTGCTACCACGTGAGGCTCATGTATTGATTTAAGCACTTTTTTTTTTATTGTGTATTCAGGTGAAAAGTTACTCAGCATATACTGTGACACAAAGGATGAGCTAATAAATGTTATACAAACACTGATTTTAATTTTGCATTTTTTGGATGATAGACATCAGGTATTTTGTTTTAAGAAAGGATCTTTATGATATATTTAATATATTAGAATATATAACAATATAATATATATATTATATATAGCCCTCACAGATCTGCAAGTGCTGATGTTAAAGCTGTGTGCTTGTATTTGACGGGCCGTATTAAGGACATTTCTGCTCAACCCACTGCCATGAAAATTTGCCTGTTCTAGTAAGTTAGGTTTGTTTGTTGTTTGAGCAGATCTCACTTTGTGCTGTTGACTGGCCTGGAGCACACAATGCTGACCTGGAACTCAGATCCACCTTCCTGCCTTTGCCACCCCCCCCCCCCCCAGTACTGGGAATGCTGGGATTAGAGGTGTGCACCACACGTGGCTAGTTTTCGGCCTTCCCTTTAAGAATGTAATCGGCTTTTCTCTCTGTACTGGGTTGGTTAGTTTTGATAATTCAACAGTGATTGGATTAAGGAATTCCTAAGGACCTGGGCTTGACCCAGGCCTGTCAGGACATTCCAGCAGGAAGGGGTTTAATGTTAACATCCACACCTAGAGTCACGTGGTAGAGAGTCTTAGCGGAGGAATTCTGTAGATCAGGTTAGTTCCGGAGCATTTCTGCGGGGGTTGTCTTGACTGCAACTTGACCCAGCCCACTGTGAGTGGTGCCATTCTCTAGGTTGGACCCTGAACTGTAACAGTAAGGAAAGCTAGCAGCCACGGATGATTGACTCAAAAGTCAGGGGACAGCACCCCAGAGCTGTATTCGTGAAGCTCCCTAGATGGCATGCAGGTGGCTTGGCTGGGTCTCCTCTTCAGGAACTGCTACTCTTGTGGAGGGGTCATCTTGTAACATCTAGATGTTAAACCCTGTCTTGAGCCGGGCAGCGGTGGTGTCGCACACCTTTAATCCCAGCACTCGGGAGGTAGAGGCAGGCGGATCTCTGTGAGTTCGAGGCCAGCTTGGTCTACAAGAGCTAGTTCAGGACAGGCTCCAAAGCTATAGAGAAACCCTGTCTCAGAAAACCAAACCCTGCCTTGAAATTTTTACAAAACAAACAAGAAAAAGGAGCCTCTAATCTGAAAGGAGTATTTCAATTCAGAGGAAATCAAAAGAGTCTTTTCCATTTATTCATTTATTTGTATAAGCTTTAATTAGTCATAGTTCCGTGGTTTTCTAATAGATAGATCCCATAGAAGTAACTGGTTGGTTAAATACAGTCAAGTATTCTATTAGACCATCATAGTTACATGACAGGCTCCAAAACCACAGAGAAACCCTGTCTCGAAAAACCAAAAAAAAAAAAAATTAAAAAAGATTTTCATTTAATTTCTCTTTCAGAAATCAACTGATATGCGTGCGTGAATGTGCACTCAAAGTTCATTTTGTATCATCAGCAATAACTAGGTTTTTGCTACTGCTGCTAGGCTCTTAGAATCTTTTTTACTCCCCAAGACAGGGTTTCACTGTAGCTTTGGAGCCTTTCTTAGAACTCACTCTGTAGACCAGGCTGGCCTCTAACTCAGAGATTCGCCTGCCTTTACCTCCCAAGTTATGGGATTAAAGGTGTGCGCCACCGCTGCCCAGCTGATTCATACACCAGGCTGGCTTCTCCAATCATTCTCCACCTGCCTCTGCCCGTGAAAGGCTCGGATTGGGGGTGTGTACCACCACTGCCTGGCTGTGCTGGTCAATGCTGGCTGATCATCACCCGGCTGCGATTAGTGTTGATTTAATCTGGAGTCAACTAGGAGACACGCCTCTGGACACGTCTGTGAGGGCATTTCTAGGAAGAACCATCTGCTGTGTGCGCACGTGTGTGTATGCGCGCATGCGTGTGTGTGAAGATCCTTCTCCAGATCGAACTCTGTCTGGAGAGCAAGCATCGCTTACCCTTGCTGGAGCACGGGTGCCCACCCTAGCGCTGCCGCCATTGGCAGCTTTTCTTGCCGTCAGACCCGACTCTGGTGTTCTAATGGGGACTGAAGACTAGCCCACAAGACTCTCGGATCTGATTGGATTGTCAGCCTCCAGCCTCACGGGCCAGGCAGCTGCTAGAGCGCATGTAGACAGCCACTGTTGGACTCCTCAACTCATACAGGGTAAGACAATCTAACAAACAGCTTTAGAATAGACACTCGTTCTATCAGCTCTGCGTCTCCAGAGTGCTCTAATACTTCTACAAAACTGCAGTAATGAATCCCATTGCTTTGCACAATTAACATATGCTAATATAAACATTTGCAACAACATGGGTAAACATTAGAAAAAAAAACTTGGAGTGGTTGGTTTTTCTTGTTGTTGTTACGGTTTTGTTTTTTTCCTAGATGGGTTTTCTCTGTGTAGACCTGGCTGGCCTGGAACAGAAATATTTCCACAGGGTTGCATTAGGTAGCCTTGCCCGGCCTACAACTATTTAGACGAGGCTAGCCAGAAACTCACGCTGGTCTGCCTGCTTCTGCCTGCTTCTGCCTCGCCAGCACAAGCAACACAGCTGTGCGGCCTCACATAAGGGAAACGGAGCACGGGGAAGCAGGGGACTCTGGGTAGTCGAGTCAAACACTGAAATCCCGGCAGCAGAGTAAGATGGTAGTCTGGACCAGGGTTTGGGCAGGTGTTGGCTGGCGAGTAGAGTTGTAATTAGGAAAGTCCTGATACTCTACTGCTCCGTCAGGTGACAGTTAATAGTGACATTTTATATGTGAGGTAACTCAGCTCTGCCAGAGGAAGTACTTGGCTTCTCAGCACCCACATAGCTCACCAACTGCCCGTAACACACACACACACACACACACACACGGTCTATAGTCACAAAGACACACCTGCGTATGTACAAAAAACGTCGATAAATCCTGGAAATAGAAATACTTTTATATATTTCAGAATAGATATTTTAAATGTTCATAAAACGATATTTGAGGTGTTGGAGATATGACAGTGGGGGCTCCCTCCCAGACCCCGAATTAGACACAAACCACACCCAAACACCTGTTTTAACAGAGACCCTTTATTAAGTGGGGGAGGGAAAGGTAAGGGGCTTCTTCCTGATTCAGGCAGAGAAACAGCAGCAAATGACCTTGCAGATATAATTTTTGAAGAGGAGGAGAAGGGGAGGTCTCTGTTAGAATAGGCTAGGGTGTGGTGGGAAAGGAGAGGGGATGAGGGAGAAGGCAAGGGGACAAGGGAAAGGATGAAGGGGGACTAAGGACCCCTCTGGATAGAGGGGAGACAGACTTGGCCTAGGCAAATGGTTTATAGAGGTGAGATGCGAAACCCGTATTAGGACGTTTGATTTAATGGAGCATGCTGTGGGACAATGATCTTGTACCCTGTAAGGATTTGTCAGTTGTATTACTTTAAGAAAATGCTGATTGGCAAGTAGCCAGGCGGGAAGAATAGGCGGGGCAAGGAGAATTCTGGGAAGAGAAAAAGTAAGTCTGCAGTCATCGCCTGGACACTGGTATAAGGTGCCAAGCCACGTGGCTTACACAGACAAGAATTATGGGTTAATGTAGGCTGTAAGAGTTAATAAGAAGCCTGAGCTAATAGGCCAACCAGTTTATAATTAATGTAGACTTCTGTGTGTTTCTGTGGGGCTGAATGGCTGTGGGACTGGGTAGGACAGAAACCTCTGTCAACAAAAGAGGCTTTTGATTGCTGGATCTTGGTAGTCAGCCTCAGGAGGAGGAAGTGACCAAATAAGAAAATAGACCACTGTCAGCCCCTCTACCTCAGTCTGAAATGGTGATCCTGCCTCAGAAATCTCAGAATGAGACTGAAACTGAGAGCTGTTTCCCCCCATTTTATATTCCTCTCTAGTACGGGGATTAAAGGCATGCACCGTCTGGTTCCTATGGCACCTAGTGTGGCTACTGGAATTAAAGGTGTGTGTCACTGCTACCTGGACTGTAAGGCTGACCAGTGGGGCTGTTTTACTCTCTAATCTTCAGGCAACCTTTATTTGTTAAAATACAAATGAAACACCACTACAAACATACCCAGATGTACAATTATTAAGTACACATAAAAATTTGCATGGTTTTCCTCAACCTGGGTTACCCCTGCACTTACTCTCGTGGGCGGAAATCCCGGGGTGCTAAGAGATGGTGGTCTAAGGAAAATGACCTCACGGTGATAATCGTTTCTGGCTATTCTACATTTGCGCCACAGGATGGCGCTGCTGACCCGTTTATCGCTTTAGCCAAATCCATGCCCCAGATTCTCAAGACTAGAGATTGGCAAACACTTACGCTGAGGGAAGAAACTGAATAGGGGCAATTCTCCACGTAGTATAAGGAACCCTGGAAGGAAACGATTTGCTTCTTATCCCCTTTGGCGGGCTGCTCTATCGTCCCTTGTCTTGCAGGTCAGGCTACGATTCTCAACCTTCCTAAAGGTGTGACCCTTTAGTACAGTTCCTCACGTTGAGGTGACTCCCCCCCAATGTAAAATTATTTTCGTGGCCACTTCCTGACTGCAATTTTGCTACTGTTATGGTTCATAATATAAATATCTGATATGCCGCCCAAAGAGGTTGTGACCCATACGTTGAGAACCGGTGGCATCGCGCACCTGCGTCTGGAATTCTGACTTTCCTTTTCCTTTGCGCCCATAAGAAGGATTCCTGAGAGCATCTCAGGCCTTAGAGTCCAGACACAATAGGAACGCTTTGTGAAGGAGGGAAGGGTCACTCACTGTCCCAGAGAGAGGCAGAAAGAGCACGGACTGCCCGAAAGGCGACAGTCATGGATGCTGGGAAAGAAACCAAAAAGGGCCCAGCCCAGCCATTGGCTGGCCAACGTTTTTACATGCATTTTCAAAAATGTCTGTGCTTCTGCAGAAGTCACTGGCCCCCTAAGGGGAGGCACCGGTGACTGACTGCCCCAAGGCAGCTCCATTCAACATCCAGGATTCGGGAGCAATGCTCACTCGTCTCCCCTGATCATGGCTGTGTTTGTCCGTGATGGTCCCCTGAAGGACCACAGTATGAAG